AGATTGTTTTAGCTTCACAGCAGCTCTAGAGTAAAGTTATTGTCTAGCTAAAGTTAGGTTTGATCGATTCGCTTCCATTGTAAAGATCATTAGTTATTAACTAAGGGGCACTTACACGACACAGTTCTAACAGAAAACCCTTAATGCGCTCCGGCCGCTCATTCGCACAAGTGCCTGGTGGCTCGAGAACACAAACCTTGAAATAGGTTCTAAGATGCAAGCCTTGAAAAAAAAAATATATATATATATATATATATATATATATATATATATATATATATATAATCTAACAAACAGGTAACTTTACAAGAGTAAACTGTGAAAATTAATGAGCAAAGTTACCTTTCTGAAGTAAAAATTCCGATGAATGTGTGTAATCTCGTAGCTTTCAACGGCTGAAAAAAATCCTGCAAAAAATTGCTGTATTGTGATTCACAGAAAAAAATATTTTTAGTGTAGAATTTACCCACCATTGAAAATTGACCATGATGCTTTGCAGATCTACAGCAACATGCTGTATACAGGTTCTACAATAAACATTTGCTCATTTTACAGTAATAATGCTGTGAAAACTACAGAAATTTGTTACAGTGTGACAGTACAAGTGGACTTTACAATTTAAAGTTTATTATTTGGGTTATTATTTTTGACTTCTAAATCATTTATTAATCTTACTTAATGTTAATTTCAACATTTACAAATAGATTTTTAATATCTTTACATTAAGTTAATGTTAGTTAATACATTCATTATGGGTCCTTAAAAAAAGTTCTAAAATAGGCTCAATTTATTTGTGTGAAACATAATTTCTTTCTCATTTAGGGTTGATTGGCATTCTTAACATGAGTAAGCGTGACTCTTCCAGCTGTATTTTGGTGCATCACCAGATGATGGCGCTCTCCACCAGGTGACGCTTGATGTCTGTCCAGCTCAATCACACACTCTCAGAAATAAAGGTACAGTGAGGGTACAATTAAGTACTTTAAGGTACAACATTCACAAATGTACCGTTTAAGGTCCTATTGTGTTCCCATGGGGTACTAAAAAGTACCTGTCGGGTACACATCCTGTATGGTACAAAAAAGTACCTTATTCAAGTCAAAGGGTACACTTCATGTAAGGGTACTAAGAAGTACTTTTCAAGTGACAGGGTACACAATCCTCTGAGCTTATGTGTGTCTTTTCTAAGACTGATAGAGCCTTTGTCATGATTTGTAAACAACTCTGCCGAAGAGAAACGGGTATTTCTCTCTCCCCCACCTCTGCCTGCTGCGCTGTGGCCGTGTGTGTGTGTGACGATCGGCCAACTTGAGGAGTTTAATTCCGAGAAGACAGTTAACTAGAGGTTCCCGTTAATATGTGTTGTGATATTTAAACAAACGAACCGTCAACGGTGAAATAAAAGGTACAAAGCAAAAACTCCAGTGTTAAATGAACTCTCCTGTGTTCAAGTGTGTTAAAGTTAATGAGCTAATAAAGTGAATCATTGAGTGATGATTGACAATTATTGAAGACACCTGATGTTAACAAGCAGAATCACTGAAGGAGAAAATCTCATTTTTTAAGACACCGTTATGGTGTTCAGTGTTTGCTTTAGTTCGGCTCTTGACTTTTAAACTGATTACTTTAAATTTTGTTCGGCTGTTGTATCTGAGTTATAACTGCCAGATGAACAAAGAGAATTGTTGATCTGATGGTTGATGTTTTGACATAATCATAATTTGATCTGAATCACAAATCTCATTTAGAGAGTTTTTACCTTGTTGATTACAGTAGTCTTTGGTTCTACAGCAAATGGTTTTTAGCATATTCAATATAATCTAAAATATATTTTTTAAAGTTCTGATTAAATGACTTTGAAAATGTCTTTATTTAGACACATTGACATCAATAATCAGCCTGTGATTTTCAACAATGGTGACAATAATAAAGCATGTTGCAGTGCATTCTGGTTGCCACCAATCAAAACTCATTCATGGCTCCCATCATGCATTGCGGTATGAATAAATTATTATCTGAATTGACTTAGTAAATTCCTTTTCCTAATTGAATATTCTGTTTGTCACCCATGTTGAGATTCATACTCCGATTATTGACGTCTGTGTGTGCCTAAAAGGAAGATTTTGTTTTATCAGAACAACTTTTTAGAAATCCTTCTGGAAATTTCTGGATCTTATGCTGTAGAATCACAGTGATGCTGGAATCAACAATATACATTTAAGTCAGAGATTAGACTCTAAATGAGTTCAGTGATTCAGGTCAAATTATGATTATGTCAAAACATAACCAACAGATCAACTTTTCTCTTTCTTCATCTGGCAGTTATTACTCAGATACAACAGACAAACTAAATCTAATGTTAACAGTTTAAGGTCCAACTAAAGCAAACACTGATCACTATAACGGTGTCTTAAAAAAATAGATTTTCTCTTTCATGTGTCTTCAATAATGGTCAATCATCACTCAATCAATCACTTAATGAGCTCATTAACTTTAACACTCTTGAGTCTGGAGCCATATTTAACACTGGAGTTTTTCCTGTGTACAAAATAAAGAAACAGCCTCTGCTAAGCCAATTTTTGTACACAAACCGAAGGGGTACTTCTTTGTACCCATTAATATGGTACAAGTTTGTTCCCCTTGGGGGCACTGCCCCAGCGACGAGCATTTGTACCTTTTTTTTTACTTTTCTGTACCTTTATTTCTGAGTGTGCACCCTCATGCAAGAGGATAGATAATAAATATGTATATTCTATAATATTTCACAGTATCATAACTTTGAAACATCTTTAATACAATGGCATAATGAGGGCAAATTAGCTCAGTAGTTTTATTTTATTTTAACGAGTAACCAAAATATTATAATCTATAATATTTCACAGTATCATAACTTTGAAACATCGTTAACACAGTGGCATAATGAGGGCAAATTAGCTCAGTAGTTTTATTTTAATGAGTGACCAAATGACCACTTGTTTAAAGAAAGCTGCAGTCCGGCGTTTTTCCTCTTTGTCGCCATCTCTGTTCGAAATCTGCAATTGCAGTCATTCGCGGAATTATCAACTTTACGTGAGTTGTACTTCAACACCCTCGACACGGCACAGCGCGGATGAACACAATGTTTGAGGAGAGTGTGAGGCTGTCAGTCACCGCGCCGGTGTGGATACTGGCATTCACAATCACAGATTATTCTTTTAGGAAGTATGACCAACATAAGAATTTCTACCGGAAAATGTCATCTGAACTAGTAAGAAACATCCCCACTTTTGTTCTGGTTCTGACATTGCAGTAAATCGCGCTGATTAAATCTAACAATCGCTTATAAGTTATCATATCATGCAAAACCGTGCAAATTATACTTTGTTCTCAAATTGTTAATATTAACAATGTAAGCAAGCATTGCGTGACTGCATGTAATGTCTGTTATACATATGTAAACGATATGTATCCTTGTTTTCGCATGGGTCCGGTTGCTGTCTCTTTTTTTCTGTAGCCACTCCGAAGTCCGAACGAAGTCTTTTGCATTTTACAGCGGGTGAATCTGTTGTCACTGGTGATTGTCGTTTGAACCTTTCTGGATCTGCCATCAAATTGATAAGTTTAATTATATCAAGTGCTGTGAGAAAAGGCTATAAATCTCCACCTCCAACATCCTCACAGGCAATATAGCCTACTAGCCGAGACTCCTCCTTTATGTGTACAGATGTGATGTAATGACGCAAAGACATGCTCGAATCTCCCGCGGAAATCCACCAGTACCACTGGAATTAAAAACATTATTACAAGCTTACCGCTTTGAATCGAGCTAAGGCAAGCAGATAGTTTTGAACACTGGCTGGTTATGTATTTTCTCAAATATGTATTTTGGATCATTTTTAACCCAAAAAAGCTACGGACTGCAGCTTTAAAGAACACAGACAGTGCCAAAAAATATAAATCTCCGAGCAATGAATGCTGTTTACAAATCAAAATACATCATGCTCAGAGATACACTTTCTATTAAGAATTATGATTTATTAGACAACAGGCAATTATGAAAATGGAGAGGAGAATTTCTAAAAGTGAAAGACATGTGAGAATATTGCACTAAGACCAGAGAGGGTGGAAGTGCTGACTCGAATAAAGCCTTTTGCAATGGTAAAGGTTATAACCAAATATTTGTTAGACATGTTGCTATGTGTGCCATCATTCAAAGTGTAAACAATCAATACTAGTCAGCAAGAAGGCAAGATATGTTTTAAAGTACTGAATTCAACACGTCTGAATGAATGAGTTCATCCACGATCATGATACATGTGTCCCTGCCTGATCTCAGAAGGAACATACAGTAAAGACAAACGTTCTAGCCATTTTCAAATAGACGTTCTATTAAAATGTGGAAAATCTCTGAGATCTCTCTAGATGACTGTCTGAGCTTTAAAGTGTGTTGGTTCATTGGGATAGAGACCAGAATCCTTGCACAGTTTGAGTATTTAGTGATCAAACTGATTCCCATTAGATGACATGGCAGAATTAAAAATTATGAGAAAGACCATTGGCACTATTTTTGGCTAAATGAATAGCAGTCAGAATAGTTAGATGTCGAACTCTTGAAAATAATATTTACATGTTTACAATGCAACAATAGAGTGATACATCTTACAGTACAATGCAGTTATATAAAGTCTAGCAGCATCTTGTGGGCTATACTTTCCAAATTCTTCATAGTATATGAGTAGAGTTAAAAAAAAAAAATTTAAAACTCCCACAAGGCATATTTTACAGTGCAATGAATAATATATGCTTTTGTTGTTGTTTGCTACTGACACTATATTTGATTTTGTCTCCATAGATAAAAGATAAATGAAAGATGACTAAGTACTAAATATATTTTTCTCTTCTAATACAATGACACTGTAGAACTCCTTAGTCCTCCTGTTCTTACGACCATGGTTTGCTTAAGAACTCCATAAATATAGTTTATAAATAACAGCTTCAGAGTAACAATTATCACCAATGCATTTTAAAGGTGTTAACCAATGAAAATATTGGATGGTAACCAAAAACAGGTAAGTTATCCCATTTTATTTAGTAAATTTAGGAAACTAAGCCATCACTGGGCTTTTAAATGGAAATCATATTTGCTTTGTTTCCTCTTACTCTCTTTGTGTATTCCATGTGTGCTGTGGCAAACAGTTCATAGTTTGCTGAGTAGTGACCCTTGTTTTTTCTGACCCTTGGTTTGCGTTTCTCCATTTAGCAGTGCGTTTTTAGTTTCTTTTGGATCATTCGTTATTTGTGACTTGTTCTGTTTGCTGTCAGTGCATTCAACATCATCCAAACCAACTGCTTTTTTCAAGCACAGAACATTCTGGAAACTTTTTTTGAAGTTCTCTGACAGGAACGCGTATAATATCGGGTTGGCACAGCTATTGGCGTATCCCAGCACCACGACAAAAGCAAACATGCTCCTTATAAAAGGCGTAGTGCTAATGGTGCCTGTAACTGATGTCACGTTGAAGATGTAGAAAGGCAGCCAGCAGAACACGAAGACGGCGACCACAACGGACACCATTCGCGTCACCTTCTTTTCAGAGCGCTTTCGTTTGCTAGAGCACACCCTGATTCCTGAAGACTTTACCTTGATGATAATTAACAAATAGCATAGACTTATGACCACTAGAGGTAGGAAGAAACCCAGGAAGAAGGTGTAGAACATGAAGGCGGTGTAGTAGGCCTCCTGCGGCTCTGGCCACACAATAGTGCAGAAGCAGCCATCAGGTTTGGTGATCAGTCCACTGTAGATTACAATTGGAAGGTTGACGATGAGCGACACAACCCACACAGCCAGGTTGATGGCTTTTGCGACATGGGGCTTCCTCCATTTGGTTGACTTTATGGGGTGCACCACAGCCAGGTATCGATCAATGCTCATCACCATCAGACAGAAAATACTGGTGAACTGATTGAGAGAATCTACAGTCATGACCACGCGGCACAGAGCTCCCCCAAATGGCCAGTGCACCAGTGCTAACTGGATAGCGATGAAGGGCAAACCTAGCATGAACAGAACATCTGCCACTGCCAAGTTCAGGATGTAGATATTTGTAACCGTCTTCATCTTGGCATAGCGCAGGATGACATAGATGACCAGAGCATTTCCACAAAGACCAATAGCACATACCACAAAATACATGAAGGTGATGACGACTGTATTAGTTTTGGTCAAGCTCTGGTCGGTCTCATTTCTCAGGCCTTCTTCGGATATGTTGTCGAGCAAAATGCCATCATACATGGGGAATCCAGACAGATTACGGGGGAAGTAACTGGGTGAGAATGAAATTGTCCAGGGATCCATTATATATTTCTCTCAGATTCCCAATTCCATTAGGTGTGACATACTTCCTGGAGAAAACAGTATAATGGTAAATGAGCTACAGTATATAAAACAGTATAATGGTAAATGAGCTACAGTATTTAAAACAAGTTATTTACTGTTGTATATATAATATATTGTTATCAGTGATAATCCTAATACGAACAACACATAATGTCTTTGTTCCAAAACCAAGGATACTGCCTTGTTGTTGACACCCTACACAGGCAGCTGCTTTATTGCACTGTAAAATCGAATTACTTTAGATTTACTTAAAAAAGCATGCAAACTGATTGTCTTAAAAAACTAAGTAACGTGAAATAGGAATAGTATGTTGTACTGACAAATTCTTAGTTATACAAGAGTTCTAGTAACTAAAAAAGGACTGTAGATAGTACTCCACTGTACTATAGAACTGTAGATCAATTTCTTTCAAATTACTTTTGATTAAGTATAGCGCATTGCCATTGTTGTGTTTTGCATGCTGCATGTTGAAGTCTGTGTGAGACTCAAGCATGGTCAACTGCAAGATATTGTCACAAATATGTGACCCGTCACGGAAACCAGGGACACAAGTCGGCAGCACAACTTGCGAGCAAAATGAGAAAGAAGCGTTTTTTTCCAAAATTGGTGATTTCCGCTTTTTTGCAGAATCTGTTAGTTGAGATCATGAAGAAGCCTCTCCATGTTTGAGATAACAGTATTGGTATATTTAAAAGCGTACATTTTGAGGTTGAAATCGGCTTGTTTTTCGGAGATTCTAGCATGCAGTAGGGGCGTGTCATTGTCTGTGTGTATTTCCATACTGAATAGCCGCCGGCGCTTTTGCGCCCGCCCCCCAACAGCGTGGCTACTTATTATGCAGCACTCTGGCCGGCTCTGTCTGATATCAAAATTCAATGAAGATCGATGCCGCAAAGATTGTCGCAGACGAGCTGAACCGTGGCAGTTACACCGAAAATGTTTTCGCCGCACTTTGTGGGCTCGGGAAACTGAACCGGAGGTATGGGCGCGGCGCGCGCGCCCTCGGTGCTTGAATACGGCGGCTCGGCTCGCTGACAGCGGTGGCTAACTGTTTCATATGTGACGTCCCGATTGCTTTGAATGGGGAACGTTTTGTGAACAGGGAACAGACTTAATGGACTGGCAACAATCTCCATAGAACATGAACTGGCACAGAGAATCGAAATAGAGGATGCAGTTAAGACCTTTGCTGCGATGAAGGCCTGCCGTGCGCGTTTCTGAAACGTAAGTTAAGCTTTATTTGCTCCTTAGTCGTTATGTAAGATGCTGAACCTGCTGATGATATAATGTGCTTGCGGACATTTCATTTGTGTGTGTATACGCACATAAGAAAGTGGTGTAAAGAGATTTGCAACAGTAATCTGAGGAGGAAATATGATTGTTTGGAAAATTCCTGTCATGACTGCTTAAATAAAAATGCCAGCAGGCATTTACCTCCTGCATAAACTTTAATATTGTTGACATTTTGGGCACACGCACGTTGCGCACTATTTGCGTTATATGTAGGCCTATGGCTTATTGGTCTTTGTGTGTTGTTGCTGGTTTTGCGTTATATGTATATGGCATATTGGTCTTTGTGTGTTGTTGCTGGTAAACGTTGCAAATAGAGGGGCAGCACAATTGTTTTTCGCCTAGAGCGGCAGAAGTGCATTCGCCGGTCCTGGGGGTGAGTTTGCATTAAACATTAAAGTTTGTCGTTTTGTTTTAATTCTAAGAACACGTACATGTTATCTCATGTTTAGTCTGTTTAGACCTTCCCATACCTACCTATTGTTATTAGCTAGCTCAGGAAAGAAAAAAAAGCTGTAAAGCACAGGGGGAGCTTTACAGGGGGTATGGCTTATCTAAATTAGATGTAAATGAGCCCTATTGTCACTCCCAGCAGCAGAGAGAGGTGAGAACTGCACATCTTTCGAGGCGGTTTTCTCCACTTTTAGTTTTTTTGAGTGCCTAACTTCAAATGGCTACAACTTCTCCAAATATTATCAGATTTCCATGTGTTACACATCGTTGGAAAGCTTGGAGACCACACTTTCAGAATCTGTGAATAACTCAAAATGCTCCAGAACGACTTGTGTCCCTAGTTTCCGTAACTGGTCACATATAGAGTATATCAATCCAATTAAAAGTTTATAACATAAGTGTTAGCAATAAAAATGTAAAACGTCTCTGGTTACTTACGTAACCTATGTTCTCTGAATAGGTTCACTCAACGCTGCGGAAAGCACAGTGGGATATCCTCTGGATGTGCCGATTGCCTGAAGCCTTACAGAATCACGCCAATTCATTGGCTGATGGCGCTCGCGCAAAGCTGGCTCCGCCCCGACGCTCTTACACCGTAGCATGATGAACGCGCGCGCGGCATCCTCTCCTCAGATTTCTTGCCGAAAAGAAAAACTGTCGGCAGTGCGAGGAGCTTGGCAGCAAACGCAGCGTCTCGTTCCCTATTTAGAGAACATAGGTTACGTAAGTAACCAGAGACGTTCTCTTTTATAGGTTCATTCAACGCTGCGGAAAGCGCAGTGGGAACGAAATACCAAACTCGCCAAGCTAAGCGCTGCCATAACTGGTACCAGACCAAATAATAATAACAACCATGATAGGTTCAAGCAGACAGAACCTGGGAACCTGGAGTCATGTCAAGATCTAAATTATAGAATCTCACAAAGGTGTGCGGAGAGGACCAACCTGCCGCCACACAAATTCCAAGAGGGCTTTAGAGGGTCTTCCAAGAGGGCCCCTCTAAAGAGAGCTTGAGAGGAAGCCACACTTCTCGTGGAATGTGCTCTGATGCTAAGAGGTCAAGGCAAACCACGCACCTCGTAAGCCAGCGAAATAGCGTCCGTTACCCAGTGGGAAATCCTCTGCGTTGATGCTGCAAGCCCGCGGCGGCCAGCACCAAAACATACCAAGAGCTGGTTTGATTTCCTCCAACCGCCTGAGCGATCTACATACAACTTCAAAGAACGGACTGGGCAGAGCAAGTTAAGTTTCCTTTCTTCCTCAGAGGCAAAAGGAGGAGGGTGGAAAGCGTTAAGGTTAACAACCTGAGAGCGGAACGCCGTGGAAAGAACCTTGGGTACATACCCCGACCTTGGCCTCAAGGTAACCCTAACCAGGCCAGGAGCGAAGTCCAAACATGACTCACTAATAGAGAGAGCCTGCAAATCCCCCATCCGCTTTAGTGAAGATAAAGCTAACAAAAGAGCAACCTTAAGAGTCAGAATCCGCTCAGGGGCTGACTCCAAGGGCTCGAACGGAGCCTCTGTCAAAACCTCCAGGACGACTGACAGGTCCCACGAGGGAACACTAGGGTGGCGAGCCGGTTTCAGGCGCCTTATCCTACGCATGAAGGTTGAAACTAACCTCAGTTTCCCCATTCCTCATCTGATTCTCTATGAGCGGCTATAGCTGCGACATATACTCTGAGAGTGGTAGTGGCCGCTCCGGGAGCAAACTTTTCCTGCAGGAATTCCAGCACTGAGCCTACTGGGCATCTAACTGGGTTCCTATCATGTGCTAAGCACCATGCCTCGAACACCCTCCACTCTGAGGAATATAGCCTCCTAGTCGAAGGGGCTCTAGCATTCGCAATGGTCTCCTGAACGTCGGTTGGGAGATCAAAGCTTAAAGCTAACGGCCTCTGATAGGCCAAACGTACAGCTTCCAAATGTCGGGGCGAGGATGCCATATCCTGCCCTGAAGCTGGGAAAGCAGGTCCTCCCTGACCGGGATCTCCCAGGGGGAGGATTCCAACAGAGGGATCAGCTCCGAATACCATGGCTGGGACGGCCAGAATGGGGCTACCAGAAGGAGGCGGACTCCGCTCTCCCTCACTCTGGACAGAACCGCCTTGATCAGCTTGATAGGCGGGAAGGCATAGAGTTTCTGCATCGGCCAAGGGTGGGCGAACGCATCTATCCCCAACAGAGCTGGAGGGCTCAGAGAGAACCAAAGCGGGCATTGGGACCACTGCTGAGATGCAAAGAGGTCCACTTCCGCTTTCCCGAACACCTCCCAGATCAGGGCCACCGTCTGGAGATTCAACATCCATTCCCCAGACCTGAGCTTCTGCCTCGACAGAAAATCTGCTGCGAGGTTCAGAATCCCTGGGACATGAACTGCTCTCAGAGAGAGGAACTTGTCCTGGGACCACAGGAGAAGGTGACGCGCATGCCTGTCTAGGGTGTGCGATCGTGAACCCCCCTGTCTGTTTACATGGGACACTACTGCCATATTGTCCGTTCTGACAATGACATGGTGTCCTTCGAGGAAAGGGAGAAAGTGGCAAAGAGCCAGGAAGACAGCCCTCAGCTCCAAGCTGTTTATGTGCCACGAGAGGGTCTCGACCCCACACGCTGGCCTGCCCTCGAAAACCACTCCCCAGCCGGTCAGAGAGGCATCCGTCGTAACCATCTGGCGACGGAATACCGCACCCATACCGACTCCTTTCTCAAGGAAGAGGGGGTCCCGCCAGATTGACAGGGCGTGAAAGCAACTGCGCGACACCTTCAATAGGCGAAGGGCTGGCCCCGTGGGCCGAGCCCCTGAGAGCTTCATCCACCACAGAAAAGGTCTCATGTGGAGTAGCCCCCGAGGTAGCACAGGGGAGGCCACGGCCATAAGGCCCAGAAGTCTGCGGCAGGTGCTCACGGAAACATGCTGGTCTAGTACAAAGCGGGACAGACATGTCACCAGACTGGAAATCCGTGCAAGAGCCAAACGGGCCTGCATAAGAGTCCATGCGTACCCCCCAGAAAACCGTGTTCTGAGCTGGAGTAAGAACGCTCATCTCCTTATTCAACCTCAAACCGAGAGACTGAATATGACGGAGGACAATGTCCCTGTGGTGAGTCACCAACTCTCTGGAGTGGGCTAAAAGGAGCCAATCGTCCAGGTAGTTGAGTATATGGATGCCCTGGAGCCGCAGCGGGGCCAGAGCAGCATCCATACACTTTGTGAACGCCCTTGGCGCTAGAGCGAGGCCAAATGGGAGGGCCCTGTACTGGTACGCTTTTTCTCCAAAGGCGAACCTGAGGAACTTCCTGTGTCGCCGTACGACCTGGATGTGGAAATAAGCATCCTTGAGGTCTACTGTCACGAACCAGTCCCCCAGCCGGATATGAGATATGATGGCCTTCAGAGTCAACATTTTGAATTTTCCTTTGTAAAGAGAGAAATTCAACCGGCGAAGATCTAGTATCGGCCACAGGCCGCCTCCCTTCTTTGGGACCAGGAAGTAACAGCTGTAGAATCTCTTCTATCGCCCCCTTCAGCAGAAGGGATGTAATCTCCTGCTGTAGTACAGAAGCCTGAGCGGCGCTGTCGACTACAGTAGGAAAGATCCCGTTGAAGCAGGGGGGGTTGCGACAAAACTGAAGCGTGTAGCCGAGCCGAACTGTGCGAAGGATCCAAGACGATACCCCTGGTAAACGCTCCCATTCTTGAACGAAATGTGATAGAGGGAGAGGAGTGTTGCAGTGCAAGGGACATACCTGAGGTAGGGTGTCGCGCTGGTTCCCATGGGGAGGCACGGTTGACCGTGGAGGAGAGCGCTTGGCGTCCTGACACGTACTGGGGGGTACCACCACCTGGATAGAAGTAACTGGGTCCGCCTGCTCTAGAGGAAAACGAACTGTGCCTCCGAGGAAGCGATTGGCGGGTGTAACGTGCACCGGGAGCGAGGGGAGAAAGCAAGACGCGTCTCCTTCCTCCTGCGCCAGACTGGGTAAAGAGAGTGAAACAGGACCTGCACTTCGAAACACGCTGGGTGGCGAAGGTGACAGGGTTGGATGAGGAGAGTCGGCTGGAGGAGGGTAGAAACGCTTGCGCGGTCTGTCCCAACCTCATAGATCTGGTGAGGCTCTCCTCCTTCTGACCTGCGGGTCAGGAACGGCTCGAGGAGGCTGGAGCGGCCGATTTGTTGGACCGCTTCAGCTGAAGGCGCTTGTGAGGGCGCTGGCAGGGAAATGGACGACCTCGGGCTCCCCAGACCGTAGTTGGTGGGTGGTGAGCCGGGTCACTCCTGCTAGTAGGGAATTCAGCCCTATGAGTAGAGCGTTCTCGGGTTTGAGAAGGGGGAGGGTTGGAGTCTCTTGGCCCTCTGACCCTCCTGGGCATAAACTGCCTGAACGCTGCCGACTGAGACTTAGCGGCGCAGAACTTCTCAACCACTGTGTTGACCGCCTCTCCGAAAAGACCTGAGTGGGAGATCCAGGAGGAAACTCTTATCCTTGTCTCGGATCTCCGTGAGATTCAACCAGAGGCGGCGCTCTGCAGCAACCGAGCCCGCCATAGAGCGACCTACAGCCCGAGCAGTGTGTTTGGTGGCTCTTAGGGCCAGATCTGTGGCTTTGCGAAGCTCTTTGACAGCTTCGGGCGTCAGTCCCTCTCCTTCATCCATGTCCTTCAAGACGTCCGCTTGGTAGGCTTGAAGGATGGCCATGGTATGCAGGGCCATGCCTGCTTGACCAGCCGCCATGTAAGACTTCCCAATAAGGGAGGAAGTAGTCCTACAAGCCTTGGAAGGAAGAAGGGAACGCGCCTGCACCAGCGTGTCCTCGACCGCTGGAATAGCGGAATAACCCTGCTCCACAAAACCCACAAGGTTGGTGAAGTCAGCGGCTGCCGCATTAGTTAGGCGTGCGGAGAAAGGCTGCTTCCAGGATCTGGAGATCTCGTGATGCAGATCGCTGAAAAAGGGCAGCTTTCTTCGCTCTGGCCTAGAATTAGGGCCACGTAGGAACCTCTCGTCGAGTCTGGACGATTGAGACTCGCGGGGCTCATCAGGCCAGTCAATAGAGAGCTTCTCTGTAGCGCGCAACAGCACGTCAATAAGCTCAGTGTAGGCCGGAGTAGGCCGCGCGTCCTGGCCGCTAGGCGGGATAACGTCATCAGCCAAAGCAGGAGGCTGCAGTGTAAATCACGTCATCCAGACCGAAAGAAATTTATTTTAATTTATTTATCTCCCGGGCTGGGGCATAAATAATCATGCGCGAATTCAACCGCGCCGCATGCTCGGGAGAGGGAGGGAGAGAAAGGGCGAGGCCCGTCAGCTCGTACTCAATATCCTCAAGCTCAACATCCGAGCCCCAGGCCGCGGATCCACGAGAGGCCTCAGCAGTCTCGGGAGGGCAACGGGGGGGAACAAATGACTCCTTTTCAAAAACCGCGAGTCTAGAGCGGAGGGTTTTGAGAAGGAGATTGTCACAAAATTTACATTTTGACAATCCTAATACACCCTCACGCGCATGCGAAAAACCCATACATTTTACACACTTACTGTGAGGGTCGTCGTTCGAGATAAAACGAACGCATGGCGGAGAGCAGCGTCGATAATCCATGACACTTCACTGTAAGGAGAACAGAGTTCCACTTATACCAGTCGCTGAAGTGTCGAGACGAGAGCTGAAGTTGAATTTGAAGAATTCGGGCTCAGAAAAACCGAACGAAGGGCAAGATGTGACCGCTTCGTGAAGGCAGAGAAATCTGAGGAGAGGATGGCGCGCGCGCGTTCATCATGCTACGACGTAAGAGCGTCGGGGCGGAGCCAGCTTTACGCGAGCGCCATCAGCCAATGAATTGGCGTGATTCTATAGGGCTTCAGGCAATCGGCACATCCAGAGGATATCCCACTGCGCTTTCCGCAGCGTTGAGTGAACCTATGAAAGAGAACATCCTTATTTGACATGAAATAGACTAGTTAGTGTTTAGTTAGAAGTTAGGTCACCTTTTAAAAGCAACCTATTTATTATTTTCCTTCATTTGAAATAAAAAAACTGTGATTTCTTGTTGCATTGCCGCATCAAGAGAATTACAATACTATCAATGAAGTTCCAAGTGCCCAACCAAAGGGATCAATCGGAAACATTTTAGGAAAATCAACATCAATTTATGAAGTCAGCTTATGTGATGTTCTCTCAAATTTCTCAGCTGTGTTGACAATTCAAGATGATTTTGGGAATTGAGTGAATTCAACTAGAGAAAAATAACTGCAGAAGTGGAGGAAATTAGTAAAAAGTAAATTAAGAATTGCCCCGCCTCAAAACCTATTTTGTTCCTTGACAAAATGACACTCAAATCAATTAATCTGAACTTGGGATGAATAGTGCGTGAATAGAATGTGAATAGTACAGATTACACAATTTTTACTATTAAGTTAAGACATTAATATAGTTAACTAAAAAGTGTTAGTAAGAACAACTGAGACAGCAGAAACCAGATATATACATACACTTCAGAAAAAAACACAAAAACTTTTATTTCTTTACTGTCATACATTAAATCAGAGTAAACTTTTTCTGTTTTAGATCAATAAATATTAACATGTTTTTTGCATTTGTTAAATGTCAGAATCGAGCAATGGATAATTTTTATGTATTTTTTTTTATCACTTTCATCAAAGTCAGAAGTATACATACACTTCCTTAGTATTTGGTAGAATTGCCCCGAAACTGTTTCACTTGGGCCAAACGTTTTGGGTATCCTTCCACAAGCTTTCTACAATAGTTTGCTGGAATTTTGGCCCACTTCTCTGGACAGAACTGGTGTAACTGGGTCAGGTTTGTAGGCCTTCTTGCTCGCACTCGCCTTTTCAGTGCCGCCCACACATTTTTTGGGGGATTGAGATCAGGGCTTTGTGATGGCCACTCCAATACCTTGACTTTGTTGTCCTTAAGCCACTTTGTAACTAATTTGGAGGTATGCTTGGGGTCATTGTCCATTTGGTAGACCCATTTTCACCCAAGCTTTAACTTCCTGGCTAATGTCTTCAGATGTTTGTCACAGGCAGGGGGATAGCGTCAACGCAGCAGTTTCTCGTTCTCTCCAGCAGAGGCTCAGACAGCAGAAGGATAGCGTCAGCGCAGGAGTTTCTCGTTCTCTCTAGCAGAGGCTCAGACAGCAGGAGGCAAGCGTCAGCACAGCAGTTTCTCGTTCTCTCCAGCAGAGGCCCAGACAGCAGGAGGCTAGCGTCAGCACAGCAGTTTCTCGTTCTCTCCAGCAGGGGCTCAGACAGCAGGAGGCTAGCGTCAGCACAGCAGCTTCTCATTCTCTCCAGCAGAGGCTCAGACAGCAGAAGGCAAGCGTCAGCGCAGCAGCTTCTCGTTCCCTCCAGCAGGGGCTCAGACAGCAGGAGGCTAGCGTCAGCGCAGCAGTTTCTCGTTCTCTCCAGCAGAGGCCCAGACAGCAGGAGGCTAGCGTCAGCACAGCAGCTTCTCGTTCTCTCCAGCAGAGGCCCAGACAGCAGGAGGCTAGTGTCAGCACAGCAGCTTCTCGTTCTCTCCAGCAGGGGCTCAGACAGTAGAAGGCTAGCGTCAGCACAGCAGTTTCTCGTTCTCTCCAGCAGAGGCCCAGACAGCAGGAGGCTAGCGTCAGCACAGCAGCTTCTCGTTCTCTCCAGCAGAGGCCCAGACAGCAGGAGGCTAGCGTCAGCACAGCAGTTTCTCGTTCTCTCCAGCAGGGGCTCAGACAGTAGAAGGCTAGCGTCAGCACAGCAGTTTCTCGTTCTCTCCAGCAGGGGCTCAGACAGTAGAGGGCTAGCGTCAGCACAGCAGTTTCTCGTTCTCTCCAGCAGAGGCCCAGACAGCAGGAGGCTAGTGTCAGTGCAGCAGTTTCTCGTTCTCTCCAGCAGGGGCTCAGACAGCAGGAGGCTAGGGTCAGCGCAGCAGTTTCTCGTTCTCTCCAGCAGAGGCTCAGACAGCAGAAGGACAGCGTCAACGCAGCAGTTTCTCGTTCTCTCCAGCAGAGGCTCAGACAGCAGAAGGACAGCGTCACCACAGCCGTTCCTCGTTCTCTCCAGCAGAGGATCAGACAGCAGGAGGCTAGCGTCAGCACAGCAGCTTCTCGTTCTCTCCAGCAGAGGCCCAGACAGCAGGAGGCTAGCGTCAGCACAGCAGCTTCTCGTTCTCTCCAGCAGGGGCTCAGACAGTAGAAGGCTAGCGTCAGCACAGCAGTTTCTCGTTCTCCCTGTTAAATGTATAACATTTTAAGCCACTTAATGAACGAAACGACTCGAAAAAAGATTTGTTCATTTTGATGAACGAGATCGAACAAGAGAGTCAGTAAAATGATCCGAACTTCCCATCACTAATTGATTCGCACATTTCGCACCCAAAAACTTTACTCTCTGGGACTCAGAATCTGTCTCCTTCCTGAGCGGTGTGATGGTTGTACATTAACATGTTTTTTATACTTGCATATTATTGTCTGAACAGATGATCGTGGGACCTTTAGGCATCTGGAAATTGCACCTAAGGATGAGCCACACTTGTGGAGGTCCACAATTCTTTTCCTGATGTCTTGGTTGATTTCTCTTGATTTCCCCATGATGTCAAAGAAAGAGGCTCTGTGTTTGAGGTGTGCCTTTATATGCATCCAGAGGTGTGCCACCAATTAACTCAAATGGAATCAATTAACCTATCAGATGCTTCTTAAGGTCAGAATGGAATCATCTGGAGTTTTCTTTTTGTTTAAAGACACAATAAACTTAGTGCATACTTCTGACTTTGATAAAAGTGATAAAAAAAAATACATAAAAATTATCCCTCGCTCAATTCTGACATTTAACAAATGCAAAAAATATGTTAATATTTATTGATCTAAAACAGAAAAAGTTTACTCTGACTAAATGTATGACAGTAAAGAAATAAAAGTTTTTGTGTTTTTTTCTGAAGTGTATGTAAATATCTGGTTTCAACTGTAGATGTTAGTGTCTAAAGCATCATCATCCTAACTGAAATGGAACCTCATTCAGTAAGAGACAGATTTATAACATCATCACAATTTCCACACAGACAACTCATAATTAATTTAAATTGTGTTAGCATGTTGCTATAGGTTAATTATGTGATTAAAAAAAACATAGCCAACACAAATTTTGGGTAAAATAACCCATTTTTAAATTATACAAAACAATCTTGGAGTAGTAGTATTTAACTATTTTAATGTTACTGAATAAATAAGGACTAATCAAGAATATGATGGTACTACTTTTTTTTTTACATTTTTAATAACAATAACGGCTAAAATTCCAATCACATTACTGTACCTTGAAGCTGGTATAATGCTGTATAATTCCGTTCATGGACGATCAATGCTTCCAGTCAAATTTATTTTTTATGTGGCTCTGTACAGCAATGTAGTGCACACTGACCTAGAAGAGCAATGACCTTTATGTCATAATCATCCCTGGTGTTCAAACAGGCTGAACAGCTAAACAATCAATGCCCCTGTCCGATCAACACCCACATAAAACTTTCTTTTTTTCAGGGGCACGTGTACATTTATCTATGGAAGTTTGTTTCTGCCACTGAATAAAAAGTAAAAAATTTAATTACAACTTTATCTCACAATTCTGATTTTTCAAACTCGCAATTATGAGATATAAAGTCGGAACTGTGAGATAAAAAGTCGTAATTGTAATCTCATTATTTTTTCCCCTCAGAAATGGACTTTATAACTCGTGATTGGGAGTCTCACAATTCTGAAAAAAAAAGAAGTCAAGAATTGTGAGATGTAAACTCACAAATGCGAGAAAAAAGTCAGAATTGTGAGTTTATATCTCGCAGTTTGGACTTTCTTTTTCACAATGTTGCTACTTTATGTCCCGCAATTCTGACTTTATAACTCACAATGGGAAAATTTTGAGAAAATATTCAGAATTGCGAGATGTAAACTTGCAATTGTGGGGAAAAATTTCAGAATTGTGAGATAAAAGTTCGCAATTATTTTTTTATTATTATTGTTATTATTCCATGGCGGAAACAAGCTTCAATAGTAACCCTAATAAAGTCAGAGAAATGCAGAATTCACCACAAAAGCTCCAGGACTGGAAGTGTCTGTCACTTTACTGCCAGTGCAAAGCTTATAATATCAATTTAAGGTGTTTATTTTGTTATTAGTTTTATTAGTGTCTCTTTAGGGCATATACAAGAAATGTTATGCTGAAAGCTGGTTATTTTATCAAAAAGATAGCAGTTTTGTGAAATTATTAAAACCAATTTCTATTTATGTAATTGGTAAACCTCATGTTTTTATTTATTTGTCTGTATATAAACATTTTTGTTTTGTTTCTTTCCCAAAATTGTATGGCAGTTAAGTCGTAAATAATCAAAATGTTAATAATCACTGACAAAATCTGTGATTTAAGCTCATGTCTTTATACCACAATGCAACTTAAATCTATCAATATATCTCTTTCATTTCATGATTCATTCATGCATAGTGGACATCAAAATAAGACAATTATGTGGAAAATATTTAGAAACTGCAAATTGTGTTCTACAGAATATTAATATCCATTGGTTCATGTAGATTTTTCAAAAATGGACAAAATACATATAAATGATTTTAAAAAACATGTACTTTTAAAAGGGTTAATTCTTACCTTCATGTTGGAGTCCATTGTACAGTACAATAGGATCCTGCTCATAATTCTGTGGATGTGCACATGTGGAGAACATCTGAATCCGACAAACAAACTGACACTGAACAGATATTAACCTGTTCCGAGACAAGCCTCTCAGAGAGGGAGAGAGAGAGAAAGAGAGAAAGAGAATCTGTGTATGTGTGTATTGAAGAGAGCATTGTAGTCTGAGTAAATATAATGTATGACTGATGTTTCTTCATCACTGATGTGTTTGTGCATGATTAAATTGTCCGTTCAGCATGTTCTTCTCAAGAAAGATTGGACAGTGTGAACCACGCCTTTATCCCAAGAGCTTTCACATGACCTTAAAACTGCATTACAGAGAGGCACAAAGCTGGAAAAGGCTACCAAAGCTGCTAAAAACCTGGGTGTTCATGAATCGATGGTAAGGTACATACAGTATGTTCTCTGTTGAGAACTTGTTGGAAAAAATACACAACAATTTGTTGAAAGGAAAAAAGGGCAGTTCACACCGACACCAAAGCCACTTCCCAGATGTGGAGGACGGGGGAATGAGCTTCATAGTTTACGGCTGCTTTGCTGCCTCAGGATCGGGACACTTTGCATTTACCGGAAGAACAATGTGAATTATTTTAGGCTGACTTTAAACCAATTCGGATGCTGTGGTAAACCTAAAAATGATGGTACTATCACAGAAATATTGATGTTCCAAAACTGCCAAGTCAAGTCACCTTTATTCATATAGAGCTTTTTACAATACAGATTGTTTCAAAGCAGCTTTATAATGGTATCAGGAAATTAATGCAACAAAGATTGTTTTGGCTGTGCTGCAGCTCTAGAAGAAAGTCATTGCCCAGTTTAAGTAAGTTCAGTGTTGATTCATATCCATTGTTATTAATTTAAGGGCAGTTTACACAACAATTCAATTCAATTCAAATGTATTTGTGTAGCGCTTTTCACAATACATACACAGCAAAAACACCCGTGTTAAATTAACTCTCCTGGGAGTTTATTTGGCTCCAGACTCAAGAGTGTTAAAGTGTTAAAATATGAGTGTTAAATTAACACTCAAGAGTGTTAAAGTTAATGAGCTAATTAAGTGATTAATTGAATGATGATTGACCATCATTGAAGACACCTGATGTTAACAAGCAGAATCACTGAAGGAAAAAATCTAATTTTCGAAGTCATCATTATGGTGATCATTGCTTGCTTTAGTTGGCCTCTTGACCCTTAAACTATTAACATTAGATTTACTTTGGCTGTTGTAACCGAGTTACAACTGCCAGATGAACTAAGAGAAAAGGTGATCAGGTGGTGTTGGTTATGGTTTGACATAATCATCGTTTGACCAGAATAGAAAAAACTCATTTAGAGCGTTAGGTTTACCTTATTGATTACAGCAACACTATAATTCTATAGCAAACGTTTTTCAGCACTTTCAATATAATCCAAAATATTTCGTAAAATTTGTTCTGATCAAAAGAGTTTGAAAAATAATTTTATTTAGACACACTGACATCAATAATCAGCCTGTGAATCTCACCAATGGTGACAATAATAATGCATGTTGAAGTGCATTATGGGCTCCACCAATCAAAACTCATTCATGGCTCCCATCATGCATTGCAGTATGAATAAATTATGATCTGAATTGTCTTAATAATTTCCTTTTCCTAATTGAATATTCTGTTTGTCACCATTGTTGAGATTTATACACTGATTCTTGATGTCTGTGAGTGCCTAAAAGAAAGATTTTTTTTATCAGAACAATTTTAAAGAAAGCATTTGAATTGTATCAAAAATTCTAGATCTTACGCTGTAGAATCACTGTGATGCTGTAATCAACAATATACATTTAAGTCAGAGATTAGGCTCTAAATTAGTTCAGTGATTCAGGTCAACTGATGATTTTGTTAAAACATAACCAACACCATCAGATCATCTTTTCTCTTTGTTCATCTCGCAGTTATAACGCTGTTACAACAGCCAAACAAAATCTTAAGTAAAAAATGTAAGGGCTAACTGCCCAACTGAAGCAAACACTGATCGCTATAATGGTGACTTAAAATTGTGATTTTTCACCTTCAGTGATTCTACTTGTTAACATCAGATGTCTTCAATGTTGGTCAATCATCACTCAATTAATCACTTAGTTATCTCATTAACTTTAACACTGCTTCAGTGTTAATTTAACACTCTGTGGAGTCATATAAACTCCCAGGAGAGTTAATTTAACACTGGAGTTTTTGCTGTGCATTGGGCCCTATCTTGCACCCGCCGCAAATGACTTTGTACACTGACGCATGTATCATTCCTATTTTGCACCCGCGCAAAGCGGGCTTTTCCCTCCACAGACGGACGTCGGTTAACTAGGAAATGAACTAGGGCTCCCTGGGCGGGTCGGCGCAAAAAGGAGGCGTGTTTCGGCGCAAACATTCCCTAGCGCTCTTTTGCAGTTCCAGAAAACAATTCTGCCTCTGACCAGAAAAAAACCTAGTCTAAAGTCAGTGGCGCATTGCGCGTTGTTCATAATGCTATTTTAAGCATGCTTGGCCATAATGTAGCGGGTTCACAATGCGCATACACTTTGGTTCTCTCATCAACACAGATGCAGCAGTTTTTATTTTTGCAAATCATACATTATAACAAGGTTAATATTTATTTACTTATACAAATAAATATTAACACATGAGGGAAATCATTGTGGTGTCCATGAAGATGTAAAAAAATGTAGGCCTAAATCTAGCTTACACATTTACCCAAATTTTTCAGGCTAATTGTAGTAATGACGGTTCAGACCTGTTTGCCCAATAGTGGCAAGACACCTATATATATAAGGACATCTGACTAATTAGTTTGTCCGTCAAGAACCAGAAAAAAAAAATCTGAAAACTGCGAAATCACCTGGTAAATCCGCCATAATAATAACAATCCGCCATGCAACATGCGCACCTGCTCTTAAAGGGTATGTTGGATGACGCTCTGATTGGTTTATTTCACGTTACGCCCAAACCACAACTATGAATAATGAAGCAATTTCAGACCAACCCCTTTTAAACTTGCATAGGGCTCAAGAGTCATTTATCCAGCCGGTAAAATAGCAACAGCGCCCAAGACCCGCCCACAAAGTTACTTGCGCTTCGCGCTTGATACTTGCGTTTCAGATAGTTAAAATAGGGCCCATTGTTTCAAAGCAGCTTTACAGAAAGTGCATTTCAGAAATGTACATAGAAAAAATACAGTTAGTTAATCATGTATTAATTAAGGGCATAACATATCGCCGGCGTTGAGTCGTCTCTTCACAGGCGTTGAGTCGTCTCTTCACAGGCGTTTAGTCATCTCATCGCAGGTGCTGGGGCATCTGAAGTCTCCGTGAGAGGCTGGATACAAACTGGAGCTGACGAACGCTATTTACCTCGGGACTAGCGTCCCGAGATAACAGCAGAAAAGCAGTGAGAGACTGTCCATAAATGTTCTTGCTGATTATTTTTCCGGGGTACATCGCAAGGTCTTTCCCCAACCCTTCCCATTACATGGTTTCGGGGACACACACACCTAGAGACAATTGATCAATTGACCTATGCTGCATGTTTTTGGATACAGGGACTCCACACAGAAAGGGCTCCTGGCTGAGCCGGGACTGGAACCGCTGTGAGGAGGCAGTGCTATAGACACTGTGTTTTACATCATTAACAAGGAGTCCTGTGCTGCGGTTTTCATTTCGGTCCAACTGTGACTTCTCTGAATAACTGGGACCAGCTTATGTACAACATTCCTTTTAAGAGCCATAGTAGGATTTGTCAGAAGATTACATCATGCAGCTCTAGGAGGATTACTTCACGTGGCACTAGTCAGCAATGCATAATTTATGGATATGATGTAGTGTGGGGGGAAATAATCCTCATAACTTTAGTTATACATTCATTTCCATGGGGAAAATGGAAAAAAAATACTAATTAAAAACGTGTAAATCTCATTCATTTAAAAATGTCCAATATTAAAATAAGACTGTGTGGACATAAAAGCAGTTAATAGGATGATAAGAATATTTTTGCAGAATTTTCAGTGATTTTCAGAAAATTATGATCATCAACATTGGGTAGTAAAATGAAATAATATATGAGCACAGAGTTTAATTTGACATTTTTTTAATAATGTGGGGTTTGTGATTTTTGCAACATTATTATTTTTTTTAAACTTGTGATAACAAACATAAATTGAATGAATTTAATCAGATTATTTGTCTTTATAGTTAAGGCTTGTAAAGCATTCATGCGTTCTCCAAAAACCAAAACAAAAAAAATGCTTTGTGTTTATTGAACTGCTTGAAGAGAGATAACAGTCCATAAAGGGCTGATCCAAACACCAGCCAGCTGCTATGGATTTTTTCCTTGCCTCTGGAGTGATTCGAGGTTACAGTTTTAGAGTGTGGCACAAAGTACACCCTGTATCTACTTTGCCTTTCAATCTCTCTGGGATAGCTTAGCATTCCTAAGTCTTTTCTATATATAGGCTAAAACTCTATTCTCTCTTTTGGCCAACAACAGGAACAAAACCAAGTTATGGATAATTAACTGCATAATATTGTATGTAATATTACAATATTTGTTCTTAGTATATTGATATTGATAATGATAATATATTATATAACTTTATATTATATTATATGCTTATGCAAAATATTTAGAAAATTCGATAAAGACAGAAAGAAATCTGATTACTTTCGATCTAGTGAAGTTGGTCTATGTCACGAGACGACTGGTTGAGTCCTGGTTGCCCGTCATCTTTTGTTCATTGCCATTCCATCAAGGACTACATTCCCCATAATCCGTTGCCCAGACTTCCATGATTATTTTCAGCTGTATCTCATTAGCCTCATTAGCTCACCCTATATAAACCTGGGGTGCTTCTCAATATCCCTCCTCGTCTCCTCGCTCCTCCGTCCTCCATCCTATGACCCGGAAACCGATTGAGCTCAGCCATCTTGACATCTCAATTCTCTAATTGCACCGCGAGGAGGCGAGGAGTGAGGAGGCTTCCAGAGGAGCTATGAGCGAGGATACACAGGTGTACCCTTTGCGGAAGAGTTTTATCGACTAAACATGACGCATGTATCAATTCTCCTCCTCCT